TCAAGTATCATAACACTTAACAGGTTGAACACAACTGATTTTATACCTCTGCAAAAATCACAATTTCAGCATGCTAAAGGTATCAAAACTAATGCACAAGATCAAACACAATAAAGCCCTTCCTTTTCTTCTTTCTCTTAAAATCAGCCATGAATATCTACACCTTATAACCTAATTCAGATGCTCTGAAAAATGCTCTCTTCCAGTAAGATAACAACTCAACAAAGCACAGAAAGTTGGGCAAAGTCACCGTACAATATAGACCACACAACAAGTTCAACTTTCTTCAATATAAACTAAGCTCCTAACCACGAAACACAAGGCATTTAGGCAGAAACTCAACACCTAACAGCAAGATCAACACGTTTTAGCACCAAGATATACATAACTGATACATGCAAAATTTGCATATAACATCCTCAAACAACACAGCCCAACCGAGTAGAAAAATAGCACAATAATCTCAGCCAAGTGTGAGGTAGAAAGGTACAGCCAATATACCTCTCCCGGCTTATGAAAAGAGCAAGGACGGCTCAGTCTCGGCGAAAATTGCTTGTTCTCGGCCTCGGGTTGTCGACGGAACCTGTCTCGCTTCAGCCGTGGACTCGCTTCAGCCCGAACAGCACCCGAGTAACTCCGTTTCAGCCCGAACCACCCCGCCGTGAAAGGTCCGGTTCTCAGCTGCTTATTTGGCCTTGCTTCCGTAGCACGGAGCTCGTCTCTGCCGTAAGACGGAGGTCAGGGATTGGAGCTCGTGGCTAGGCTTCAGAGGTCGAGGCTCGCAAAGGATGCAACCCCGTTGGAGGTTGAGGGTCGCCGGGAATTGAAGCTTGGTCGCCGGTGGTTCAGGTCTGTTCGGCCGCGGGTCTGCTCTGCGTATCTGGGTTTGACTCGTCGCGGCGTGGGTGGTCGACCCTCGTCAGTCGTACCTTGAACTCGCCGGAATCTGGTGAGTCGCAGCAAGGCGTGCTCATCCCGCCACTGAATAGAAATCTCTCGTCAGTCACCAGAAATTGAAGGATCTTCAGTCGTCGTGGCTGTCTGCCTCGCGTCGCCGAAAAAAAAAGGGCTAACTCGCGGTCGCCGGCGTTCGCTGGCCTTCCCGCCGCCGGTGGTGTGTGTTGCTCTCGGGACTTGCTGCCGGAAGTCTGCTGATGGCCGAGGAAGATGATTGCGGGATTTGGATGGGATCGGCATTTTGAAGCCAACCAAGAGAAGATCGAGGCGTCTAATGGTTTGGAGGGTGTAAATTGGAGAAATTAGGGCTGTTGAATGTGGCACTTGGGCTAACACAAAATGGGTTTATTGGACATAATTTATTTGGGCCGAAATCACGAATTTTCAGGCTGAATTGGGTCGAGATAAGGAGCTGCTGGATTTGGTTTACTTGGGCCGAGAAAAGGCGCACTTTGAACACATAGGAAAATAAATTGGACCCTTTAAAAAAATAAAACACTTAAGCACAAAATCCAGAGTAAACAATTAAGAACAACAAATTGAACAATTAGAACACTTAGACAAATTTCAACACAATTTTTAATACTTCGAACGATAAGTAAAACGAGAGCATACCAACGAATTTAAGAAGACGAGGACATCTTCTTAAATCTAAATATTCGATTAGGTAAATTAATTAGAAAGATTAAATAGACGAGTACATCTATTTAATTATAATAAGCTTAACAGAGAAATTTGTCGAGCATTACAAAATTAAATGCAGCTATCTGCATAAATAAAATAAATAATCCAAAAAATCTAAAAATCGAACGGGGCGCTACATCGGCTCTCCAGCCAGGAATATTACTAACTAGTGGTCATTACCGAACAACGGAATGGTAGCTCGCTCGACTTTTCCGACTAACAGCGTCGGATCCCACGTCAGCTCTAACTCATGTAGCTAAACGTGCTAGCAGTCCTAAACGAGTTTACTCTCACATACACTGCCTATAGCTTCCACACTTCGAGATCTTAGTGTAAAGCTTCCCTCGCAAGTGTTTCCAGTCAATAATACAACACCAACCAAATTAAGTACATAAGCATGCTTTTTAAAAAAAATAACTTCTATTTTCGAAAACACAACATAAATTTTTCAAAACTTAACCCACGCAACGATTTTTAAAATAAACACAACTTGCAGCACATAAGTCATATAAACATGATTTCAGTTGCATATGAATCCTAAAACATGCATCTACAACTCTTATAAAGACATCGATAACAGATAAGGTCATCTACCAGGAGATTATTCAGCAAACATTCACAACAGAGTTGCAGTTAAAAATTTGGAAACATACGGCTGACAGAATCTCAGTATTTATTATCTAAATCATGCTACGGACCTCCAAATGACATGATTCAAAAACCTATGGACAGCCAAGAAGCAAGGAAAAATTTTCATGAAGACCTCAGAAGCAAATAATGGCATTTGGAAGGTCATAAATTGACTAACATGATGAACCTAGTTGCAGTCCGGGAAACAAGAACATACTTGTGCACAGCTTCAGTAAAATGGACACAACTCATACTACACATAACATATTGATATGATTCTTGCATCCTTAGAAAACTAAGAGACAGACCTACTACTTTCATTTAGATCACTGAAGCAGATAAGGTCATTAAAAAGGGGCAAAATCTATTAACATTAGGAATCAATTTTCTGCTGAAAGTATAAACCCATCTCATGCATTTCCTAAACCGATTTAACACAATTCGAGCGTCAGACATCATATCAGCATGCATTTTACCTCATCAAAAAGCTAAGAATTTAAACCTATAACTTTCATGAAAATCACTTTCACATTTGAGCACATTCAAGCATCGAAAACAGACCAAACATGCTGCCGGGTTTTATTAAAAACTGTTTGTGCGACAATTTTGTAAAAATCATATCTCCCTCGTTTAAAAACAGATTTTCAAAATTCCAAAATTCAATGAAAGACAACAGGATAAGCTACATTTCATATGAAGATCACATCTTCATAAAACGAGTTCTAGATGGCCATTTCAGTGGCACAACAAAGACAGCAAAACGCAATAATCCATGTAAATTGTCAACGAAACTTTATCTCATTAATCTCCATATCCAAAGCAACTTATTTACATCAACAACAACATATAATGAGCATAATTAATTAAACAAGGGAGGGTTTGACGTTAAACATGCTTAAACACGTTTTCATCACAGAACCTCATAGACTAAACATAACTCATATGAATCCACATAAACCCTAAAACATGGTTTCTAGCATATCATAACATAAATCTCCACATGAAATTTTTCAGCTTTTAACCAAGTCACGTAAACATGCTGGAGCATCAATAAATCACATAATCCTTATCCCATACCCAAGCATCAGTCTTCATGACCTCCGCTCGAGTTTCGCACGAGAATTGGTAACCATTGCACTTCTCGAGGCTTAGCCATCCTCGAGAGTTGCGACAGTGCTACGTACTATATTTCACTCTTAGTCTTCATTGATTGGGTCCTATAGTTATAGACTTCCGAATAACCCAACCACCTGGGACTTCTTCGGTCGTCTGCTCCCTTCATTTAAGCTTTCTCTTTCAAGATGGCTTGCGAATGGTCCTTACTCGAGGACAGTGAATAGAATCTTATAGCGAGAAAATGCTATGGACAAAACTTAACTTGATAACGGCATACTTAACTCACAATGAGGAACCTCTAGAGTCAGAATTTAACTCTACATCACTAGAGTTAAACATTAAACTCTGGAGTTCAATTTAATCAAAGGTGGATAGATTTCCTAAGCCCCACATAGCAACATGACATATATATATCAGTTCACATCACAAGTAGTTTCATTGCTACTTATGTAAAACATATAATTCACATTATAAGTACTTTCATTAAAACTCAACCTGAGACCTCTGGAGAGTCTCCTTTTAGGTCAATGTCAATAGGAATCAACTCACGAATGAAGACAGACCAGCCTGAACAGACAATCTTGGTACTTAAGATGAATTCCTCTGGCATTACGACCTTTACCACAATGATGCTGTCCATAGATCCAATTATTTCGTGGATTGGATTTCACTTGACTATGTACGGTTCCATTGCGTGTGCTCGTTACTTATATAAAACATACCCTTTAGCGGCGCGGCAAGACGAAGGCGAGTGGTCGAACACAAGGTCACAATAACATTAGTCACATAATCACATGAACATGTGATTCACACATAGAGCAGTCTATAGAAACGTTGACCTCGCTCTGATACCAAATTGTAATGTCCCACTTTGATTTTAAAGAAATTACGGACATTCCAAAAATCAATAAAACATTTTCGAAGTCATTTTAGGAATCATGGGCATTATTCAACAATATTCACATAGTCCAAGTCTTATTTGGACTCACAAGGATTCATTACCCGGCGGTATTCACATGGTTTTCATTAACCTGATTCTCAACACTTCACATGTTATCCAGCTTAAACACCATAGCATGAATAATAAAAAATAACAACATGATATCAATTCAACCACGTACTCATGAGTACCCAAAATAACATAGTTTTCGGAAATATTCCAAAACCCAACAATTTAAAACATAAGTTTGAAAAACGGTTCAACATGTCTCAACCAAACAAGGTTGATAAAGACCAAGCAAATATTCAAAATAAGCGAAAGCATAAACAATGATAAGTGACCACCCACTCGTCTTTGCCTCGTCATCCGTCACCTGCTTAACCTGCATCCGTGAAGAGACAGGTGGGAGTGAGCACATATGGAACCCGCAGTGCTCACCATTATGCATATGAACAATATATAATATGTTAAGATGGTATGGTCGCAGCATGAACATAAACAATAGCAACATGTCTCATCTCCTACACAATATCACATCAATTCACATTACTCTTGTGCATATCTATCGTTAGCTGCAGAACGGGGATTCATTATCCGAAGGCGGGAGTACATGCCACGCTACGGACATGGCCTTCCATATGGGCTTGCGTACCTCACAAGGGAACGGCCATATCAGGACTTAAGGAGATTGCCGCACAAGGGCACCGTACCGTAACTCGACGGGGACAACCGTACCGACGGCCGTAACAGCTCACATCGATAGGCTACATGCTCATCTGCATACATAGATCATACCAATTCAACACATTTAAACACATATGACATTGACATTTTAGAATAACGAACCCACCTGGAAATCGAGGTAGAATATCACACTGAAATATCAGGTAAGTAGGTCGAGGGCTCGACTCCTCAAACACCTATATTTAAGCGAGATAATAATCAATAATTTATCTCACTACTCGAATTTAACATAAACATCAAATTTAATCAAAAATGGATGATTAAGGGATTTTATCGGATTTTTCGTGGACTTGGAACTCTCACATTTTTGAAAGAATAAGACTCGAAGAACAAAAATGGAGTCTCGGGACTTGAAATAATTTTTTCCAAATTTTTATCATTTAAAAATAATTTTAAAATCAAGTTCGGAGCGAAAAATGGACTTCCGGTACACAAAAAGGTAAAAAATGAATGAACTGGGCCGCCTGCCCAGTTATTGGCCAAAGGCTGCTGCGATATGGGCCTCGCTCGCGAAATTGGCCGCAATTGAACAAGGAAAAGGGCTGAAATTTGGGTCTGCTAAGGGAACAAGGGGCGCGGCCTTCGGGCTAATCGCGGGCTGGGATCGGGCCACTCGCGGGCCGGACGGGCTTCAGAGGTTGATTGAAGGCAGACCCCGCGCGGGCTTAAAGCGGGCCAAGCGGCCCGCGCGCCTTTCTCTTGATCTGGTGGGCTGGGTGGAAAAAATGAAATTGGGCAATGGGGACGGGATTCGAACATATGACCTCTCACACAACATATAGCATCAAACACCACTGCACCACACGCCTTGTTGCGAATTTAAAAGACATCACGGCTAACTAAAAATAAAACAAAAGGTTTGCGACTTTGGAATTAAAACACCAGAAATTCTTGGGCCGGGGTCTGCAGGAATTGAACAGGGAAGAAGAGAAACAAAATTTCTTTGGTTGCGAACAGAGCACATCAGGCTTGGAAAAATTCGACCGAATCGACGACAACATTTCCAACGGCTACCGAGTTTCGAGAAATCAATAAATTCACGAAAAAATCACAATTTACAGAGTTCAACATTTTATAAAAATTGGGTTTTTGACTCGAAA